CTCCGCGGAGGAGAGCGGACCTCTCCTGCACCTGTCCCCTCAGCGGCGGTGCTGCAAAAGCCGGAAACCGGAAGTTGTAAACCGTAACTCGGCTTCACAATGAAGCTTGGAGCACAGGTGCAGTCGCTCCATGCTTCATCTTTGCTCGCAACAGAGGAATTTCTCCTCGCATTTGGGAGCGGCTTTTTCAAGCCCTGTTATAAGTGACTAATGAATGCCACTGATGCAATTCAGTGATTACAACAAGCCAATCTCTCACAGTTCATCAAGTGAGCTGGTCTACCATAGTGGAAGTATAATTTTCTATCTGCTCAAGGGATCGAGGGACAGATGAATGGCTGTTTTTTTACAGTTTTTGTAGCTGCTGACTTATTTTATTACAGTGTGACTAGAACTTTGCTTTAAAAGCCTCTTGCTGTTGTTTTCAGGCTTCTTTTTTGTCCTTTGCACACTCCCTATCCTTCACTGATACACATCACGGCTACTAGTGTAGAGCGAGAAGTGCCGTTATTTACACATGTTCTGTTCCATGTGTACTACAATTCCCATAAAACTGAATGTGTTTGAATGTAGATGTATAGACCATGTCAGGGGCAAGCAGGGAGGGTGGCTATGCTTACATACATAAAGGGGGCATAGTCACCCTAGAACAGGACGTCTGGGAACAGCAGAAAAAAAGTTGCATTTGAGAGATAAAACAAAGGAAGCGATAGATAGATAGATAGATAGATAGAACAGATAGATAGAACAGATAGATAGATAGATAGATAGATAGATAGATAGATAGATAGATATAGATAGATGATGGCACATTCTACTTATATTTAGGCATATTGTATTTATTTTATTTTAGAAAAAATGTGAGTTTAGTGTCACAACTGAACATGCTAGAAGCTAGTTGCCATGAAAAGCTGCTCCAGTTCGGATAAATCACCCCCACTGCAGGCAGTGCACATTACTGCACAGAACAACGTATCTCATCCCAGTTATTATTATTATTATTATACAGTATTTATAAGCGCCAATGGTTCGCTCAGCGCTGTACATTACAAAGGGGGACAGAACATGTGACAGAACAATACCAATACAATGCAAAACATGAGGGGATGGAGGGCCCTGCTCTTTGGAGCTTACAATCTAGGAGGGAGGGGATAGTGGTACACAGGAGGAGATAGCTGTGGGGGATGGAGTGGTAGGAAGAGTGGAGGAGGTCGGCAGGTTAGCAGGGGGTGGGGTAGGCTTCCCTGAAGAGATGGGTTTTTCAGGGTGCGCCTAAAGAGAGGAGAGTAGGTGATAATCTGATGGGTTGGGGCAGGGAGTTCCAGAGGATGGGTGACACCCTGGAGAAGTCCTGGAGGCGGGCATGGGAGGAGGAGACCAGGGAACTAGAGAGAAGGAGGTCTTGTGAGGAGCGGAGTGTGCGTGTTGGGCGGGTACTTGGATATTAGGTCAGTGATGTAGTTCGGGGCAGTATGGTAGACAGCTTTGTACGTCAGTGTTAGGATTTTGAATTTGATCCGTTGCGCAATCGGAAGCCAGTGGAGGGATTGGCAGAGGGGGGTGGCGGAGATGGAGCGGTTGGAAAGGTGAATGAGTCTGGCAGCCGTATTCAGGATGGACTGAAGTGGGGATAGCCAGCGGCGAGGCAGGCCAGTGAGGAGGGAGTTGCAGTAGTCGAGTTGTGATATGATGAGGGAGTAGATGAGCTGTTTAGTGGTTTCTGGGGTTAGGAACGTGCGGATTTTGGCGATGTTATGCCCTCTGTTTAGACTTCTCATATGATTGACGGCTTAGTAAAGCTGGCCATAAATAGACAGAATTTCATCTGTTTCAGCAGGGACCGTCTGAATTCCGATCGATGTGTGGCTATCTCTGCTTGACAGATGTTGATCATCTGATTGACTTCTATCGAAGGAGAATGTTGGGAAAACTCTTCTTGATCAGCGGTTGCAGTTGCTGAACAGTGTATTGTGACAACAGCGGGTACAGCTTTCAGAATACAAAGTCCCAGTGGGAGGCAGGGGCGGACTGACAACTCATGGGGCCCACGGGCAATAGGGGATCATTGGGCCCCTGTGTCCTTGCCCAAACTCAAAAAAGCCTATTAAAAAGGTACCAGGGGCATCCCATGGGGCCCCCTACTGACCCCAGGCCCTCGGGCAGTGCCCAGTTTCCAAATGGTCAGTTCGCCCCTGGTGGGAGGAAACCTCCATCCACCTCATTTGTGGATGGAGGAACCATTCAGGCTGCTGGTGAATAAGGAAAAATCCTGGTCAGCATTAAAACAGGTGTTAACAGCTTAAAGTGGTGGCAAACTCTTGTTTTTAACTTTTACCTACAGGTAAGCTTATAATAAAGCTTACCTGTAGGCAAAATTAATATCTCCTAAACTTGCACCGTTCAGGAGATATTCTCTCCTTGCCGGCGCACGCACTCGGAAGAAACGGCATACCCGTGCCATTCCTTCAGTGCGGTGTGCCGTGCCCCAGGACTCCCAAGTGCCTGCGTGGGATTGACGTCATCATGGCCTGGCCTATCAGATGGATGAAGCGTGCAAGCCCGAAGGGAAGACCAGGGGAAGATGGAAGCCTCTGCAGCAGTGATGGCGTGTCGCTGGAGGGCTTCGTATTAAGGAAAATCCTACAGAATTTATTTCTTTCAGGTACTCGGCGACATTACAGTATGGCTTGTATTGGCAACCTTCACCTTGTATAAGCAAACTAGTTTCCATAGACTGTGCTTTCAATTACAATCGATTTTGCGTGTGTCTGGTAATTCATTTCATTTGTGTTCCCAGAGATTCCAAGAATGATTTTGTGTGCTCCTTCATCTTTCTCCTCTCCCCATGCTACTGCCATTAGGCTTTTTTTACAATCAGTTGTTAATATCAGATTTTTAGTGCATCGTTCAGCAGCTCAAGTGACAAAAAATACTTGGTCATAATGTTGATGAATGGTCCAGTGCGCACCAATGTCTGCTGAATACGTTTCACTGGGATCTCACCAGAATAAAATTTAAAGAGACTCTGAGCAGAAAGGACAAAGACTGCAGGCAGGTATGAAGAAGCTGAAGCCCCCCTCAAATTCTCTTGTCACAGCTGAATCTTGGGCCCTATTCATGGGCAATGCTTTGGCACATTTGCCTCCTGATCATACCTGTTATTATTTATTTATTTTTTTAGGTACTTATATAGTGCCGTCAATTTACGCAGCGCTTTACATATATATTGTACATTCACATCAGTCCCTAACCCTCAAGGGGTGTACAATCTAAGGTCCCTAACTCACATTCATACATACACATACTAGGGCCAATTTAGACAGGAGCCAATTCACCTACCAGCATGTCTTTGGAGTGTGGGAGTAAACCGGAGTACCCGGAGGAAACCCACACAGGCACAGGGAGAACATACAAACTCCAGGCAGGGGGGGTGCCATGGTTGGGATTCAAACTGACGACCCGAGTACTGCCAGGTGGAAGTGCTAACCATTTATCCACTGTGCTGCCCACTACATAATGTGCTAGTATGAGATGCGCATACTAGCACAGGGCTTAAAATTTCAAGTCCTGAGCTACTAGCCAGGCCTTAGAGTTACTCGCCACCAACAAACACACAGAAACAGAGACACCTGTACACACACACACACACACACAGACATGTACACACACACACACACAGACATGTACACACACACACACACAGAAACATGTACACACACGCACAGAGACACACGCACACAAACAGACACATGTATACACACACAGGCACGTACAAAAAACGCATACACACAGATACATGTACATACACAGAAATACACACGCACAGACACATGTACATACATACACAGACACATGTACATACATACACACACACACACACATGTACATGCACAAACACACAGACACATGTACACACACACACAGACACGTACACACACCTACATGTACATACACGTAGACACATACATACACATGTACAATTGTACATGTATACACAGACCCACACGTACACACACCACCCCCCCCCCCCCATAAAAAGTTGCAGTACTTCGTTGTTCACTCACAGATCCGGGTACTGCACTCTGCACCCAGGGGGTGGCAGAGAGCACAGCACACACTCCTTGCTTTGCTTTCACTGCGCTCAGCTATTGAGCAGTCTGACGGTTCCCAGTGCCAATGACAGATCCGGTCTGAGCTCCGAGCCTGCTGAGCAAGACGGCCCAGGGGGACATACTCACCCCCACCATAATTTCCACTCGCCATTGGCGAGCAGAAATTTCAAGCCCTGTACTAGCACATTATGACATTACCTTTTTTTCTTTTTTATGTGGTTTACTACTGCTTTAAATTGCCTGTTGCACACCTAGTTAATGGCAAAATAATAAAGTAGCCCCTACAGAGAATTTCCTGTGAGGAGTGGATTACATCACTTCCTTTTTATGGAAGTATCACCTTCCACTATTGCTGAGGAGAGGTAAGTGTGTGTGTGTGCTTTAGGCTGTTTTTCCTTACCCTAGCTACTTCTGAGAAGGACACAACAACAATGCCAAATCTGGAAAGTCAGTCACCCCGAGCCCTCAGTTTTTCCATAATCCAGCCAACCACAACTAGTTTACATTTTCCTAATGATTGGACACTTGGGGTTTTATCTTTCATAAACCGCACCCTCCTCTCAGTTCATTAGCAGAGAACATCAAGGAATCAGCCAACATTTTTTTTAACCTACTGATTCTTTCAGTAATTCCCAGACACAAAACCTGCTCTCCGTTACCTCCTTTGCCCCTTACACTAGCCACGACCCTCCAATCATATTAGAGAATCAAGATAGAATGAACTAAAATAACTTTAGGAAACTGTCAACCACCAGTAAACAATGAACTAGGAGTTCCAGTTTCGCCTTCCAAAGAATAACTACCTAGTGCATTGAAAGAACAATTCCTAAAGGACACCGTAGTGTGGAACCACATCTCTCAGCATGCCAGTCACCTACATACACCTACCTCTTTCTGATCCAGCTGAAGAGAAGACTTGATGAGGTCCCGCAGGGCAGTGAGCTGCTTCTTCTCTTCATCTTGTGTTTGTTTTATCTGAAAAGAAACATTATTGTTAAGTCTCATGTACACATGAACTCCCCTACATGCTCTCCTGGCAGCAGAAAAATGCTTAAATGCGTGAAAAGGCGGGACCGCGTTTAGTGCCTGGACTTTTATTCATTTGATTGGGCAGAGTATTTTCCATTGACATGAATAAATGCCCAAGTGCTACACGTAGATAGCGTTTAGAGACCGCGTTTTTTTTTGCCACGTTTAGCACTTGGGCGTTTATTCATTGACATGAATAAAGGCTAAAGCACTAAATGTGGCTAGTGTTTAGACATGTTTTTGCCGCGTTTAGCGTTTTTCGGGCCAAAATGTTCCTCTCCTGAAAGCGATTCTTCTGCGCTCAAGAGAGGAATGTTTAACTGCCCCTAAACTCTGATAAAAGCCTGTGTGTACATGGATACATAACGTGGATATGAAGTCTACACACCCCTGTTAAACTGTCAGGTTTCTGTGATGTGAAAAAATGAGACAAAGATAAATCATTTCAGAACTTTTTCCACCTTTAATATAACCTGTAAATTGTATAACTCAGTTGAACAACAAACTGAAATCTTTTAGGTGGAGGGAAGTAAAACAATGTGGTTGCATAAGTGTGCACACCCTCACACTAATCCTTTGTTGAAGCACCATTTGATTTGATTCCAGCACTCAGTCTTTGTGGGTATGAGTTTATCAGCATGGCACATCTTGACTTGGCAATATTTGCCCGCTCTTCCTTGCAAAAACACTCCAAATCTGTCAGATTGCGAGGACATCTCCTGTGTACAGCCCTCTTCAGATCACCCCACAGATGTTCGACCAAATTCAGGTCTGGCCTCTGACTGGGCCATTCCAAAACTTTAATCTTCTTCATTTGTTGATTTGAATGTATGCTTTGGGTGATTGTCATGCTGAAAGATGAAGTTCCTCTTCATGTTCAGCTTTCTAGTAGAAGCCTGAAGGTTTTGTGCCAATATTGACTGGTATTTGGAACTGTTCATAATTCCCTTTACCTTTGCTAAGGCCCCAGGATTCCAGCTGAAGAAAAACAGCCCCAAAGCATGATGCTGCCACCACCATGCTTCACTGTGGGTATGGTGTTCTTTTGGTGATGTGCAGTGTTGTTTTTGCGCCAAACATATCTTTTGGAATTATGGCCAAAAAGTTCAACCTTGGTTTCATCAGACCATAACATATTTTCCCACATGCTTTTGTGAGACTTCAGATGTGTTTTTGCAAAATTTAGTCAGGCTTGGATGCTTTTCTTTGTAAGAAAAGGCTTCCGTCTTGCCACTCTACCCCATAGCCCAGACATATGAAGGATACGGGAGATTGTTGTCACATGTACCACACAGCCAGTACTTGCCAGATATTCCTGCAGCTCCTTTAGGCCTCATGCACACTGGATGTTATAAAAACACCAGTAGCATTAGTTGTAGAATGCTGCAATAAAAACGTGAGGTTTTATGTGTTTATCTTTTTTGCATTCGCTTTTTTCAGCGTTTGCATTTTTTAGCAAAGTTATACTCTCACAAAATCTTCAGGCTCAAAAACGCCAGGTAGCCGTGTTTTTTAGCATACTTTCAGCTTGTAATGACGTTTTTTTTTTCAGCTTTTATCAGCGTTGGAGCATTGTTACAGCTAAAAAAACTCCTCTAGAAACCCACTAGTCCTGGGTTTTTTTCCAGCCAGAAAAACACTCCTGCCAAAAGACGCTGATTAAAGTCTATGTGCGCATGAACACATAGGATAACATGCTGGGGAGTTTAGTGGCTGTAGAAAAAAAAAGCCAGAAGCCAAAAACAGCACTGTAAAAACGTCCCGTGTGCATGAGGGTTTAATGTTGATGTAGGCCTCCTGGCAGCCTGCCAGACCAGTTTTCTTCTCGTCTTTTCATCAATTTTGGAGGGATGTCCAGTTCTTGGTAATGTCACTGTTGCACCAAATATTTTCTCTACTTGATGACTGTCTTCACTGTGTTCCATGGTATATATAATGCCTTGGAAATTCTTTTGTACCCTTCTCCTGACTGATACCTTTTTAACAATGAGATCCCCCTGATGCTTTGGAAGCTCTCTGCGGACCATGGCTTTTGCTGTAGGATGCGACTAAGAAAATGTCAGGAAAGACCAACTAGAACAGCTGAACTTTATTTGGGGTTAATCAGAGGCACTTTAAATGATGGCAGGCGTGTGCCGACTCCTATTTAACATGATTTTCAATGTTACTGCTTAATTCTGAACACAGCTACATCCCCAATTATAAGAGGGCGTGCACACTTATGCAACCACATTATTTTAGTTTTTTTATGTTTACTCCCCCCCCCCCCCCCCAAAAAAAAAAGATTTCAGTTTGTTTTTCAATTGAGTTGTACAGGTTATTGGTCACATTAAAGGTGGAAAAAGTTCTGGAATTATTGATCTTTGTCTCATTTGTTTACATCACAGAAACCTGACATTTTAACAGTGGTGTGTATATTTTTTATATCCACTGTAGGCTTTTATTGAGTTGAGTTTAGGGGCTTTGGCAAAAAGATGCCAAAAGGTTCTAAACTCACGATTAGGAGCAGCAGTCTGCATGAGGCCTTATGGGGTTTCCAAAATGTTGGTTACTCTTGTATGACCTCTGCCAAATCTTTCAGAGCCTAGCTGGCTCCCGACCAAAAAAATGGTTGCCTGTGAATTACCTAGCTACACTGCCATGCCTCATTATCCAGTGTTATCTGTAATAAATGTCACTGCCAGTCCTGTTTAGGACCCCAGTCCTCTTTAGGACCCCATTCTGGTGGGTTCAAGTTTTATTTCTGTCTGTGTCCCCATTGGAGAGATTCACTCCATCTACTTGCACTGGCAACCATTGTCACTGAGAAAGCAAGTGAGTTCAAGTCCAAAATTTTTGAGTCCCCCCAGTATAACAGGTGAAAACTTCCAACAGGGACACCTGATCTAGGGGCATCTGTTTAAGAGGGCAATTTCATCATTTTGGGAGATTTTCTTTAACTTCCTGTTGTGTCTCTGGAACAGGAGGCATAGAGAAATTTTCCAAATAGTACCAAGTTTGCAAAAAAAAATAACCTGGCTTGGGTTTTATCCTTTCCCACTCTATCGTAAACCAAAAAAAAAAACCCCACAACTTGCTATATCTATACTTTAAAGGCTAACGCCACCTTTTGCACCACCTGTTTATTAAGGTGTAACATGTAACAGTACAAAATCTGAACAGGAGATAATCCATCAACTTACGTTATATAAATCTGCAGCCAGTTTCTCAATATACTGCTTCATTTTGTCTGCAGTTTTCAAGCCATCCTGAAAAAAAACTGACATACAAAAGTGTATTTACACAAATGGTAACTTGCAGAATGAAAGGTTATTAACAAGGCTTCTTGTATGACATGTATAAAATCTCTCACACTGAGCCCCATGTAGTATTGAAAATCCAGCAGGAGCACTAACCCCTTCCCCACTTTATTCAAAATCTTAAAAATGTTTTTAGTTTGACATTCATTGACTAATTTGAGTCTTAGGAGTCCATAGTTTTTTATTGATTCCACAATAAAGCAACATATTCCATTTTGTTTGAATTGATTGTAGATGTATTAGTGCAGTTGCGACAGAAACAATTGAGTACTGTCCGTGATACATTTTTTATTTGCACTAACATACAATTTTGAGGACAAGCTTTCGGGGAATGTCCCCTGAACAGTACTCAGCGCCACCTTAGACCTTGAAGAAGGGGACATCCCCCGAAAGCTTGTCCTCCAAATTGTACAGTCATGGCCGAAATTGTTGGCACCCTTGATATTTCTCCAGGAAATCATGTATTTCTCACGAAACGTATTGCATTAACACATGTTTTGCTATACACATGTTTTATTCCTTTGTGTGTATTGGGACAAAACAAAAAAAGGGAGGAAAGAAAGCAAATTCGACATAATGTCACACAAACCTCCAAAAATGGGCTGGACAAAAGTATTGGCACCCTTTCACAACTGCGGATAAATAAGAATGTTACAAGCATGTGATGCTCCTGTAAACTCACCTGGGGCAAGTAACAGGTGTGGGCAATATAGAAATCACACCTGAAAGCAGATAAAAAGGAGAGACGTTCACTTAACCTTTGCATTGTGTGTCTGTCTGTGCCACACTAAGCATGGACAACAGAAAGAGGAGACGAGAACTGTCTGAGGACCTGAGAACCAAAATTGTGGCAAAATATCAACAATCTCAAGGTTACAAGTCCATCTCCAGAGAACTAGATTTGCCTTTGTCCACAGTGCGCAACATTATCAAGAAGTTTGCAACCCATGGCACTGTAGCTAATCTCCCTGGTCGTGGACGGATGAGGAAAATTGATGAAAGATTGCAACGCAGAATAGTCCGGATGGTGGATAAGCAGCCCCAAACATGTTCCAAAGACATTCAAGCTGTCCTGCAGGCTCAGGGAGCATCAGTGTCAGCGCGAACTATCCGTCGACATTTAAATGAAATGAAACGCTATGGCAGGAGACCCAGGAGGACCCCACTGCTGACACAGAGACATAAAAAAGCAAGACTACAGTTTGCCAAAATGTACTTGAGTAAGCCAAAAGCCTTCTGGGAAAACGTCTTGTGGACAGATGAGACCAAGATAGAGCTTTTCGGTAAAGCACATCATTCTACTGTTTACCGAAAACGGAATGAGGCCTACAAAGAACAAAACACAGTACCTACGGTAAAATATGGTGGAGGTTCAATGATGTTTTGGGGTTGTTTTGCTGCCTCTGGCACTGGGTGCCTTGACTGTGTGCAAGGCATCATGAAATCTGAGGATTACCAAAGGATTTTGGGTCGCACTGTAGGGCCCAGTGTCAGAAAGCTGGGTTTGCGTCCAAGATCCTGGGTCTTCCAGCAGGACAATGACCCCAAACATACGTCAAAAAGCACTCAGAAATGGATGGCAAAGAAGCGCTGGAGAGTTCTGAAGTGGCCAGCAATGAGCCCAGATCTAAATCCCATTGAACACCTGTGGAGAGATCTTAAAATTGCTGTTGGGAAAAGGTGTCCTTCCAATAAGAGAGACCTGGAGCTGTTTGCAAAGGAAGAGTGGTCCAAAATTCCGGGTGAGAGGTGTCAGAAGCTTATTGATGGTTATAGGAAGCGACTGATTTCAGTTATGTTTTCCAAAGGGTGTGCAACCAAATATTAAGTTAAGGGTGCCAATACTTTTGTCCAGCCCATTTTTGGGGTTTTGTGTGACATTATGTCATATTTGCTTTTCTGCCCTGTTTTATATTTGTTCCAATACATACAAAGGGAATAAACATGTGTATAGCAAAACATGTGTTAATGCAATACCTTTTTTGTGTGAAATACTTGATTTTCAGGAAAAATATCAAGGGTGCCAACAATTTCGGCCATGACTGTATGTTAGTGCAAATAAAAAAAGTATCACGGACAGTACTCAATTGTTTCTGACAATAAAGCAACAAAATTCCAACATGTTTAGGAGGCCAAAACATTCCTCTTCATCATGGCTTAGATGATGTGTTGAAATGTTTAGTGAAAGCTCCTGAGCAAAACAAATCCACTCTTTGGGTCTTTTATGCTCTCTCTCAGAACTGTGCAGCTCCAGTGATGGTGGGGAGTAATGATGCAGAAAATGGCATAATTGAGAACCACACAACAGTGGAGGAGGGGGAAGACCTGCATGCCACGTGACCTACCACTCCATAAGTATGTTGGCTACATTTCTTAAGGTGAATTGCTAGCTAGTGAAGGATAAGCAGTGATTCTTGTTGCTTTACAGGACTGGAAGGTAAAGGCCTCGAGCTCTTCATTTTTACCCCTTTCCTAAAACATTTCAGACAGGTGCACAGAGGTTGCTGGAGAGCAGGAACAAGTTAGTGGCATGCAAAGTGTAAGGGCTTGTTCACACCGTGTGCAAATAGGTGTATTTTTCTAATGTAGGTCTCTTCAAGGATACAAAAAAAAACCCCAAAACAATTGTTGACTATTCACCATCTTCACACCACAAAACAGGTGTCACTTTTTTTTGTGTAGAAGAATGCAGTGTTGTTGTGTGAACAAGGTGCATACAAAACAACTGTTTTCTTTGTACCCTTGCAAATGGCAGGTGCAGAAAAATGCACTTCGCAGTACAAGGTATGAAAGAGGCCTAAAGGTGCTTTCTTACATCCATGTCACTGTGAAGGGAGACACGTTGGGTGTGGGGCCCATGGAACCCAGCTCACCTTGGAGAGGTGAGGAGACCCCTGTCTCAGCTCCCCATATCCCTCTTATGTGTAAATCACCCTGTGCCTGTTAGGGATACAGGGTGATCTGTCCTCATATTGGTGTGGGGACGTTGTTGATTGTTTAATGCCATGTGGTTGCATCACATTGTTCTATTGTGTGCCTCGCTTGGGAGCAAACTATTATGGGATGTATGTGTTTATGGGTATTAGCTTAGTGGGGGTGTGTCTCCAGCAGCCCTCCCTCCTGATGGGACTGTCTGTTGGTGTGAAGTTTGAATACCTGTGTGTCTTGTTACTAAATGTAGATTGCCCCACCCTGTGTCATCTGCAGGGAGGGGGGATTGTCCCGAGTGTATATATCTTGTATCTGTGTTCAAATAAACTAGTCTACCTTCTGGATTACTTCAAGACTGGTGTCGTTTAGTCTTGTATGGTCAGCTGTGGTGTCTGTGGTTGGTGTTCAGACAGGGAAGCGGTATTCTAATGGAAGTACCCAAGCGTAGTCTGGGTCGGTTCCGTTACAGTCACACTAGTACCATTGCCTCTGATGACATGGCATATGGTAAATATAAGGCTGTGCTCTATCTATTGAGAATCGCTGAGATCTATCATGTATTGGCATACAGTATAGCCGTTCACCATTCAACTTGTCCTGGGCTTGCAGACAAAGTCTAGGGTCTAAGGTACAGTTGAGTACTTTTTGGACCTCAGAAAAAGGATTAGGAGACCCTTAAAAGCTTGACCTGAAAATTTAACTGCTAGTGCAAATTAAAATGGTATTGCAAACAGTACTAAAACGTAAAAAAAATTAAAAATTAACTGATAAAAATTAGGATTGTTTAAAACATGTTTGGCTTGAAGTATATATGCAAATGGAGTACTTCCATATTGTGCAATCTACTATTGTACTGAGAGAGATGACCTCCACTGGCAGAAAACCATTATTTTAAAGCGGAACTTCACTCTCTCAATCAACATGAACTATTTTTAGTCCTTATTCTGCTAACATTAGTAAATAGATAGGAAAGTAAATCATATTTACTTGCTTTAAACTTATTTTTTTACTTTTCTTAAGTTACTTCCTGGTTTCCATGCCTAGGCAAATGATGTCATACATCCCAGGAGTCTTCAGGAGAGGAGGGAGGGTGCTCAGCTCAACCTATGCCTAAGCTTAAGGCAGATGGACTCCAGGAAGTAATTGCTACATGAATCATCTGCCCTTACTCAAGATGACCACTGCTTTTATATTACACCATAGGACGCTCTTTGATTTTGGCGCATGACAGTTTGCTATGTGGTGATCATGCGATCGGGCCAGGAGGGAAGCCCCAGAGGGAGACTTGGTTGTTAGGAAAAGTGAAAGGAAAGGAGCAGAAGTGTGCATTGTGAAGACAATACTACAGCCTAGGGAACCCAACCAAGCAGGAGCAAAGAGGGGAAACATACAAAGTGGTACTGTTATAAACAGGAGCTTTGGACAGTATTGCCTTGGCGCTATGCAGACTTTAGAACAGATTTACCAAAATACATATTCTTCCTGGCGACCTTGCTACCACTTCCATGTAGTTGAAAATCAACCCAATAACTGCAAGCAGAGCCCAAAATCAGGAGATTCTTTTGCTTTTATCCTGCTGTCCATAATCAGCCTAAACTCTAGTACACATGATGGGAAAATCAGATGAACGATCGTCCGTTTTTGTTTGTTTTGCTTTGCATGCTAGTCTCATATAAAAAATGAAGAGGTTATGAAAATTCTCGCATGACAGAATACAACTTCGGACGTGATGTAATGTACTGTAATGTATTCTTTTGTTTCTGAGCATGCGTGGTCTTGGGTCGCTCAATTTCTTTCATACAAATACTGTACTAGTTACACGAATACTGTTCACTCTGTTATTTGATGAAAAAGTCTTGCCCAGGAGAAAATTCTTGTTTTCTAGTTTTCATAACTGATGTTGTCAGGGACCGCCGCGGCGCTGGTCCCGGCGTAGGCACAGCGCGCCGCTTCACACAGGAATGCGGGCACTAGGTCCGGGCCGGCCGCGACGAGCCCGCGCATGCGCAGTAAGTGACGCGGGTGCGCGCCGGGCACCAATGACAGCGCAGGGCGCGGTATTTAAATTGCCCTGAGCTGTCATTGAGTGCCGTTCGGTCTATTTCTGTTCTTGTGTTACCTGATTTGCTGTGAGTACTTACCTGGATTGTCTGACCTTGCTGCCTTCTCCTGCCCTGACCTCTGGCTTGCCTGACCTCTCTTCTGTATGCCCCCTATGTGTTCTGATATACTGTTGCTGACCTGGCGTGTGACCCGACTATTCTCTGCCCGCTGTTTTGTACCTTGCATACCCCATGGTTCCCGACCCGGCTTGTTTGACCCTGCACCTGCTCAGCCATCCATCCATCCATCCCGTTGGGATCTCCCGGCCTCCTCACATCAGACTCTTCCCCTGCGGGAGCCCTTGGCGGATACCTCTATACGAGTGGTGAGTGTGCCCAGTAATCGCGACCTGGTCTCAGAGCGCTCCAAGTCCATCCCCACCATCAGGGGCCCTGGTGAACAAGTGCTCTGGGACTTAGATTCCGCGCTCTGGAAGCACCTCACCGGTGGATTGCTAGAGGTACCGCCGGGTGGTCCCTTACAGATGTCTCGTACACACGATGAGAAAATCGGACAAAAAAAAAAAAAAAAAAAAAAAGAAAGCGTTGGGAGCGATTGTCCGATAAGCAGATCGTTAGTACACACCTTTCGAGACGATCACAATAGTTCATGCGAAAATATCTAAAGGGACAAGCACAAAAATTTTTCTTAAACAGAGTGAACAATATTCGTGCCACCGAGCATGCTGGGATTTATTGTTCCCCCAAAAGCGGCAGAAGGAACAACCTGCCTATAGGATAACAAGATCGTACTTACTTGCACTGCGCGTGGTAATACTTGATAAGGTTCTGTAGCAGATCCACACCCTTCTTTGTCTTGATTTCATTAACTTTAATAAGATACTGTCAAAAGACAAATACAGCGCTTTGTTGGTAATTACACACTCTATGTTTCGGGTTGGCAAAGCTGTATTTTAGTGCAAGGGAATTCTTTTTTTTTCCATCTCGGCACACATCTAATTAAATAATCATTGCTATGTAATTATAGTAATAACAGACAATAAGCATTTGCTACAATACCTTTGTGTATGGTTTAAAAGGAACATTGTATGAAGTCTCTTTATCATGCATACAGAGAAAAATACAAGCCGGGTAATTCAGCAGTGCAAAGAGCAAACGATGCTTTGTCTCTGAGGATCTGCAATTGAGTTGTACCCACCACCTTCCTACGCATTACCAACTTTTTAACCTGCTTGGTCACCTAACGCAACCCACAGAATTTATACTTGACATGTTGCGAAATCCTTTTGCTCAGCAAGGGAAACTTTTGTGTTAGGGACAGATGTATGTCAAAAGACATAGTCCTGTCATATGACAAGAAACGATCAACAACCTCTGCTTACAGGGAAAGGCTTTGAAACTTTAATTAGAACAGAAAAGTTACAAAGTAAAAAAAAAAAAAAAAAAAAAAAAGTAAAAATGCTTAAGCAGAACAATTTAGACTAGATTCGCACCGGTGATTAGGGGCAGTGAGAATAATAGTGGCAGGAATCAGAGAATCCTGCTGAGGTTCTCAGCCGCTAGGTGCGGCCGCTGGCTCCGTTCACTACGACAACAGGTCGCTGGTGCCCAGTCTGCCCGCTGAGAGCTGAAGCAGGAACTGCCGCTACAATTCGCATTTGACCCAATCGCTGGTGTGAATGTAGCTCTAATCATATGGAAGTTCTCAGACATAACAGGTCTACTGAGGACCTGACTTCTTTGTCTAAAGTGGGGGCTTCTAGGGCTTGTTCACACTTGCTTTGGCCTCTGGATTACACTTTAGAGAGCATTTGACAAGCAGCGAGGAAGTATGGTATCGCCTCCTCACTGCCTGCTTTAACCCACTGCTTTTACAGTGGAATAATGTCCGTACAGGATGTCTCCAACGTACAACTATGTGGCAAAAAAGGTTCAGTGTAGATAAATGTAAGGTTCTGCACTTGGGGGCTAGGAATATGCATGCATCATACATACTAGCGGGGGAGGGGTACAACTGGGGGGGGTCAATGGTGGAGAAGGATCTGGGAGTTCTGGAAGATCACAAGCTTAATAATGGCATGCAATGCCAAGCTGCGGATTCTAAAGTGAGCAAAATCCTCTCTTGTATTAAAAGAGGTATAGACTCCAGAGAGAGAGATATCATTTCCCCCGGTACAAATCATTAGTAAGACCTCATCTGGAATATGCAGTTCAGTTTTGGGCACAAATTCACAAAAAGAACATTGGGGAACTGGAGAAAGTACAGAGAAGGGCAACCAAACTGATAAGAGGCATGGAGGAGCTCAGCTATGAGGAAAGATTAGAGGAACTGAATGTATTTTCTCTTGAGAAGAGGAGATTAAGGGGGATATGATCACCATGTATAATACATAAGGGGGGATATGATCACCATGTATAATACATAAGGGGGATATGATCTCCATGTATAATACATAAGGGGGGATATGATCTCCATGTATAATACATAAGGGGGGATATGATCACCATGTATAATACATAAGGGGGGATATGATCACCATGTATAATACATAAGGGGGGATATGATCTCCATGTATAATACTTAAGGGGGGATATGATCTCCATGTATAATACATAAGGGGGATATGATCTCCATGTATAATACATAAGGGGGGATATGATCTCCATGTATAATACATAAGGGGGGATATGATCTCCATGTATAATACATAAGGGGGGATATGATCTCCATGTATAATACATAAGGGGGGATATGATCTCCATGTATAATACATAAGGGGGATATGATCTCCATGTATAATACATAAGGGGGGGATATGATCTCCATGTATAATACATAAGGGGGGATATGATCACCATGTATAATACATAAGGGGGGATATGATCTCCATGTATAATACATAAGGGGGGTATGATCTCCATGTATAATACATAAGGGGGGATATGATCTCCATGTATAATACATAAGGGGGATATGATCACCATGTATAATACATAAGGGGGGATATGATCTCCATGTATAATACATAAGGGGGGATATGATCACCATGTATAATACATAAGGGGGGATATGATCTCCATGTATAATACATAAGGGGGGATATAGTCTCCATGTATAATACATAAGGGGGGATATGATCTCCATGTATAATACATAAGGGGGGATATGATCTCCATGTATAATACATAAGGGGGGATATGATCTCCATGTATAATGCATAAGGGGGGATATGATCTCCATGTATAATAGAAAATAGACAGGTGGCGCACACCCCTAGTGCATTATCCAAGGTTTATTGAAAGGTATGAAAGGTAAAAACATACTCACAGGCAAAGCATGTATCTAAAAAGCATTTGCATAATGACGATGGCCACAACGGCAAGCAAGGTGTTCCAACTGTCAGTGCGGTCAAATGGCTGACGCGTTTCGAGGACGAGTCCCTTTCCTCGGAGCTACTGACCAGCCTCTGGTGCAGATGTGTATGGATGATGGGAGCCTTGCTGGTGATCACATCAACAGCAAGGCTTCCATCATCCATCCACATCCATATCCACATTGCACTGTCCCTTTAAAACATTTTTAAATCACTTTTATTCTTATCTAAGAAATGCATGCATCCCTTGTGATAGAAATAATTTTTGACAGGTCCTCTTTATGGAGAGATATGGGGTCAATAAGACCCCACATCTCTAAAGCATTGATCTAGTGCTTTACAAAAAAATATGGCCAGAACCGGAAGTGACATCGCTCTGGTCCTCCAAGGGCATAGAGATGAGTGGAGTCCATCTTTCCTTCACTTATCTCTATGCCCAGCACCACGATCGTTCAATGGTTTCTCAGGTAAGGCTGAGAACTACCGAGTGGCGGCTGGTGGCAGCAGCGGTGGGCGGGCGACGGTGGGGCTGGGCAGCAGCGAGGGGAGTGTTTTTTCGGCACCTGTATCAGTGCTTTTTTTTTCCCATATCAGTCCATGGCCGAAAGGGGTGTTTTGGCCAAAACGTTTTGTCCACCGAAGTTTCTGTTCATCCCTACTGTTTACCACAGCTTAAAGCGGAGCTCCACCCAAAAGGGGAAGCTCCGCTTTAAGGACTGCTCCACCGCTCCCCATTAAGGATTGGCACCTTTGGGGGGCAGGGGGAGCTGGTACCCGAATTTGACAGGTACCCGCTACCACTTCCGGTCCGATCACCTAGGCGATTGTAAGTGGAAGGTGTTCTCCCTCACTACCTGCAGTCTTTTGGGACATGTGACAGGTCCTAGAAGACTACAGGACCATTCATGAAGCGCAGCGCTACTTGTGCATGCGCAGTGGGTACCCGGCTTTGAAGCCGCAAGCTATCACAGCCGGGTGCCCACACTGAAGATGCCGGCCTCTAGGAACACAGGACGGCCGGTGAAATGGGCTGCGGGGGACACACCACGGGATCGAGGGACAGGTAAGTGGCTGTTTTTTTTTTAAAAGTCAGCAGGTACAGTTTTTGTAGCTGCTGACTTTTATTTTTTCACAGGGTGAGTGGAACTCCGCTTTACATGAACCAAAGCCCCTGATAAAGCCACGCATTGTGACAAAACATGGAGGGAAGCCGGGACTTTTCAGCTATTAGTAGTTAAAGGGGTTCCTTAGAAAAAAAAAAAAAAAAGGAATTTAGATAGAGAATGGAAAAAGTGAAATGACATAGGGAATCATTCTTCCTCAAGTGATGTGGTCTCAAATGGAAAATGTATAAAGGATTTTAAAGAGGTATTGCACTAATGATTGCCAAAAAGCATGCGGTGAGCAGGGTGGAATAAATGGCTCTATAATAGCAAGCTATAACTGCACCGTACACCAGCAGTTCCAGATGTGTTTCTGGCCAATAAGGCATAAAAGAATGATTTGCATGGCCCCACCCACTATCCTGAAATGAGGGATAATTCTCCTATTAAGAATGTGTGATGGAATGAGACACGTGAATACCTTCTGCGCTAATAAAATGTTATTAAAAATGATGCTTTATTCTGAAGGAATATATAGTAATGATGATGTGTGTCAACTTTCCTTAGAAACAGTTTTTAATTGAAAGCGGAATTACACCCAAAAGTAAACATTTATTATATCGCAGCTTACCAATCCTTAGATGTGATGGCTGCACTAGTTTTCTTTTTTAGGCTCTCTTTCCTTTATTTTTTTTTACCTGGTGATCTGGCCAATAAGTCTGTTGTTTCTTGACAGAACAAGCTGTCCTGCAGACGTAGCAGTTAGGGGATTGAGACAAACCATTGACCACTGACAGGGGTTTTTACAATGATCAGCTTTTATTTATGTAAAACCTTTATTCCAAAAGAGAAAGAAAATATTGCTGTACTGCTTGTAAAGTGCTAGCTGGAGTTCAGCTTTAAATTGTTAGTGTATCTAAATCTACTAGTACAGCTAACACTCCTCTCCCCCCCAGATCAACAATGCTGCTGTCCTAAGGTGTTGCTCCTTCATCCTGAGTGGGGGGCACTCTAACACAGGAGATGTGTTATTTTTTTTTTATTCAGGTACCTATATAGCGCCGTCAATTTATGCAAATTTACGCAAATTGTTAGTGTATCTAAATCTACAAGTACAGCTAACACTCCTCTCTCCCCCCAGATCAACAATGCTGCTGTCCTAAGGTGTTGCTCCTGGGGGGCACTCTAACACAGGAGATGTGTTATTTTTTTTTTTATTTCAGGTACTTATATAGCGTCGTCAATTTACACAGCGCTTTACACATATATTACATTCTCATCAGTCCCTAACCCTCAAGGGGTGTACAATCTAAGGTCCCTAACTCACATTCATACATACACATACTAGGGACAATTTATACAGGATCCAATTCACCTACCAGCATGTCTTTGGAGTGTGAGAGGAAACCAGAGTACCCGGAGGAAACCCACGCAGGCACAGGGAGAACGTGCAAACTCCAGGCAGGTGGTGCTGTGGTTGGGATTCGAACCAATGACCCTAGTACTGCCAGGCTAACCACTGTGCTGCCCAGTGTTATACCGGCCATACATGAGTCGAAATTCGACCAATTCTTTGAAAATCAGACCTAAGAATAATCGGCCGATTTTCGCTCTGTTAGTGGGTTAATGGCACCGGCCGATTTTCGTGGTCCCTCCACTTTTTGGTGATCAGGCATGTTGGAAAATTTGTGAAAAACCACTGATTTTCAACTTAATGATGGTCAAATCGTACGATTGTTTTTCTGAAAAGAATATGCACATGAGCCGTGACCTGGAAGGAACAGATGTTTCGCCTGTTATATGACTTGGTCGGCCGATTTTTTAAATCATTGATGGTGCAATCGAATTACCGAGCGAACAACGTTTTTTTCGATTTTCGGACGAAAAATTGTTCGGAATTCGACCCATGCATGGCCTGCATTACTGGTCAGATCACCAGGTGAAAACTGAGGGAAAAAGCCTCAAGGTTCGATGTGTTGTGTGTTCAGAGATGGTATTCTGCATACCTTGGTTGTAAGGAGTGGTTATTTGAGTTACTGTTGCCTTTCTATCATCTTGAAGCAGTCTACCTATTCTCCTCTGACATCAACAAGGCATTTTCATCCTCACAACTGCTGCTCACTGGATATTTTCTCTTTTTCGGACCATTCTCTGTAAACCCTAGAGATGGTTGTGCATGAAAATCCCAGTAGATCAGCATTTTTTTTTAAATACTCAGACCAACCTGTCTGAACCAACCACCATGCCATGTTCAAAGTCACTTATATCCCCTTTCTTCCCCATTCTGATGCTCAGTTTGAGCTTCAGCAAGTTGTCTTCACCACATCTACATGCATGGAGTTGCTGCCATGTGATTGGCTGATTATATATATATATACACACACACAAAGCAGGTAAAATAGGGATTGATGAACGTGTCACTATGTGTTACAACTTCATTTCTGAACGTAGTTTTTTTTTTTTTGTTTCACTGCATGTATGGATTGCGTGTGTGCGTGCGCGCGTGCGTGTGTGTACACATACATATTTATTGCTTCAACTTTAACCCCTAGACGTCCAGCGCACGCAAATATGCAGCCTCTCGGCGTCTGGGCCTTGATGCCGAGCGGCCCGCATATTTACGTGCCATTAGAAAATACATATATGCTGAGAGTGCTCCCAGCACACATGTCCGTGACTCACGGACAGGTCCCGATCTCCCCCTGCGATCGGGACCTTTTGCGATTATGTGACCGCCGTGACAGCGAATCACGGCAGTCACATGACCCTAAAAACCTGCTCGCCTCCCGGCTTCTGAAACTCTTAAAGGGCCTGGATGCGCCGACGCAAAGGGGTTAAACAAAAATACTGCCATCAACAACCGGTCCTTCTCAGTGCAGCACCTGAGTGTCTCTCAGCTCAAAGTACTGTACCATGTGCAAAAGAATGTGGAGAAGTACCTACCTCACACATCTGTAACTGAAACAGCCTCCTCTCCTTCTCCATTTCCTCTGCGATCTCGGCCCCCGTTATCTCTGTACGGATCATCCCATGCTGCTTTGCATGCTCCCGCTTCTCCTTCTCGATTTTAGTACTAGAATGAAAAAAGGAAATATTTTCTTTAGGTTACTTTTCTCAGAAGAATTTGGAAATTGTTTTGACATTTTGAAAGCTCCAGAATTGTGTATTTTTATATATAGTTATAAAAGAATATTGAGTGGAATACAAAGAAATAGAAGGAGAATAAAGTGACATTTTACTAGATAATGACTGTGTTCAGATGGCATCGAGGAATGCTATCCAATTCAGCACAAGGCCATTTCAAATAAGAGGAAAAAGAAAATATAGTACATGAGCCACAATACAAATAAAACAAGATAACATTAGCTGGGGTGACAAAACAGCAATTAAATCTCAGGGCACTGACACTACTGAGCAACTAGCTAAGACTGGTCGTGGAAAGGCACATGTCTAATAGACAATGGGCACTGAGAACTTGGCCAGCCAACCATGTCCATGATCCTTTTACTGTGGAAGAACACAAGTGGAAATCATATTGATAGGCAGAAGCCCACACTTCTGCCCCCTACTGGAAGTCTCACATTGCAAGAAATGCTCAAAGCAGGTGCATCACAGGCAGCAAATGTCTGAACACCCAGAGGGAGATTTATGAAAACTAGTGTATACAGAATGTGGTGCAGCTGTGCATAGCAACCAACCAACTTCTAACTTCAGCTTGTCCAATTACCGTATTTGCCGGCGTATAAGACGACTTTTTAACCCATGAAAATCTTCTGAAAAGTCGGGGGTCGTCTTATACGCCCGAGCCGGTGTCAGGGCGGCACTTTTTCGAGGGGCGGCGCGGTGGCGGAAGGGACACTAAGTACAGGGGCGGGCAGGGGGCTGCTGTACCTTACCCGGCTCCGGTCCCACGACGATCCCGTCCAGGAAGCCCGGCTGCTCCTTCTTTCAGTTCGGCCCGCTCGATGGTCGCGCGGCCGCTTGGTTCCGCCTCCTCACCGGTGATTGGGTGCCAGCACTGGAAAGGCACACAGGCGACCAATCACCGGTGAGGAGGCGGAGCCGAGCGGCCCCACGAAAATCGAGTGAGGGAGTGGCCAGTAAGTGTGCAGCAGCACCATGCTGTGACACTCTTGGCACTATTCCTCTCCCCCACTGACACCAACGATGAGGCACTGTTCCTCCCCCACTGACACCAACGATGGGGCACTATTCCTCCTCCCCAATGACACCAATGATGGGGCACTATTCCTCCCCCCCCACTGACACCAATGATGAGGGCACTATTCCTCCTCCACACTGACACCAACGATGAGGCACTGTTCCTCCCCCACTGACACCAACGATGGGGCACTATTCCTCCTCCCCACTGACACCAACGATGGGGCACTATTCTCTGCCACTGATACCAATGATAGGGCACTATTTCCCGCCACTGATACCAACGATGGAGCGATTCCTTCCACTGATACCAATGATGGGGCGCAATTCCTGCCACTGACACCAATGATGGGGCGCACTATTCCTCCCACTGATACCAATGATGGGGCGCTATTCCTCCCACTGACACCAATGATGGGGCACTATTCCTCCCACTGACACTAATGATGGGGCACTATTCCTCCCACTGACACCAATGATGGGGCACTATTCCTCCCACTGAGTAATGATGGGGCACGATTCCTTCCACTGACACCAATGATGGGGCACTATTCCTCCCGCTGAGTAATGATGGGGCACTATTCCTCCCACTGACACTAATGATGGGACACTATTCCTCACACAGTGACACTAATGATGGGGCACCACCATTGGTGTCAGTGGGAGGAATAGTGTCCCATCATTGGTGTCAGTGGGAGAAATAGTGCCCCATCATTGGTGTCAGTGGGAGGAATAGCACCCCATCATTGCAATACCATACTGAAATAGCATACCATATTGAAATCAAATCTGATGTTTTTTTTCATTTTTATTTGGTGTGCGTTGGAAGAGGGGTAGTCTTATACGGCGAGTATAGCTCAAACCCTATATTTTAACAGGAAAAGTAGGGGGTCGTCTTATACGCCAGCAAATACGGTAAGCCTTTACAATAAAACCCAGAAGCTGATTGGTTACTATTCTTAGCTGCACCAGATTCTGTGTGCACCATGTTTAGTAAGTCTTCCCCATGAGATATAAATGGTTTGTTTTTTTTCTGTTCAGCTGAGATGGATGGAGTAATCCCTCCTTCTGGGACATTGTACTCTGGGAGCAGGACTCTCCATGGTCAGAATACATGGACTGTCTCTAGCTGCTGACGGACGAAAGTTTTCCAGCACATCTGTTAGGCTCCATGTACACGGGGCGTTTGGAAAACTCTTCTGAACGATGGGAACTGACTGCTGGAAACCGTAGGTTAAAAAAAACCGTCGGTTTAGCCGCATTAATGCACATTTGCGTTTAGAAGCGTTTTTAAAAGATAACCCTAGGAGACCCTCCAAAATGCCCAGAATGCACTGAAAAATAGTAAATTCACTAATAAAGGCTACAAAAATGCCGCATGAGTTATTTTATCAAGTCATGCGGTATTTTAGTAGTGAAAAGCATGCATTAATGTTTCCCACTGACAGCTGAATGTAAAAGAAAGAATTGCCAGCAATTAAAAAATAATAAACAAACGGGGTGGGGTCCCTCCCTTCCATCCATACCAAGCCCTTCGGGTCTTGTATGGATTTTGGGAGGGGGGAACCCCACGCCATTTTTTTTTTTGGCATGGGGCTTCCCCTCAAAATCCATACCAGACCCAAAGGGATTGGTATGGATGGGAGGGGGGACCCCACGCCGTTTTTTAAATGTATTGTTTAATTGCCGCCAATTCTTTCTTTTACACTCAGCTGTCAGTGGGAACCCCAGTGATATCTGAAACATGATGCATGTTTTTGGCTACTAAAATTCCGCATGACTTGATAAAATCATGTGGTATTTTAGTAGCCTTTTTTAGTGGATTCAAATGGGTTTTTTTTTTTTTTTTTTAAATGCTATGCGGTATCCTTCTGCATACTCTGATGTGGTAAGATACCGCTTAGTGAATTGTGCCCTGGATATGGACCTGTCAAAAAATGCTTCTAAACGCAAACTCTTATAAACGCGGTTAGCCGCGTTTACAGGCGTTTGGTGTTTGAAATGCTAATAAAATCTACTCCTGAACGCAAGTTTGGTGCGTTAAAAAAAAACAACTGTAGACGCAACTGCCTGTAAACGAAGATGTGTACATGAACACATAGGAGAACATTCAGGGAGAGTTCAGGAGCTGCTGAAAAAAATGCAGAAAAGCTCCTAAACGTGAGTTTATCAGCTGCAGTGTACATGAGCTCTTAGTCGGAAGCTGATCTAACAATCGATTTCTGCTGAACAGACAGGGCCACACAGAAACTGAAAATGGGCCGGTCTGTACCCAACCTTAGCCATAAAAAAAAAAAAGGCAAGATGGCGGCGGGAGCAGACACGCTTTAGGAGCTCCTGCGCTCCTAGCCCCAATCCGCTGCCATCCGGGCCATCCGGGCCGCAGCGGAACCCAGCGGGGCCCCTAAGACACTCCCGGCCCAGCCTGACCACCAGGGACCACTTCTGGACCTTTTCCCGGAGCCCCGGAAATCGCGGCCTACCCGCGCACCCGAAGCCGCGGCCAAAATCGATTTTGGCCGCGGCCGAGCCGCGATCGGACCGGATCGCCGGACATCTACCCGGACCGTCACCGCTCTGCCCACCGGGTCCCGCCGACCTGCCTGCCTGCCCAGGGCCCTCCCCATCAGCCCTGGGTCCTCGCTGATCACCCTGGACCACCAGGAACCGGCACGGCCTCACGGTCTCCCTGGAGCCCTCCCTAGCT